AGATACATTTGCAGCCAAAGAACTGCTTTGAACAAACATATTCAACGTTGGGCTTTGGACGAGCCTTGCTTCCACCATCCACCAAGCAATGCCAAAGAGAGCGCGCTCCCAAAGCAACCTTGGGTACACTTTGATGTTTGTTGGGGCGGTAGTTTGCAGCTTCCGCTCGCGCCAAACAAGTGCCATACCTCACTTCCTGAGTTCTTGGACTTTGTACCTGTTGGGAAGACAATTTCGGTGGCACACGAACAGTTCGGACTTGTGTGGCCAATCCACTCAGGAAGTGAGTTGAAGGGAAACCCAAAGGAGTGTGTTTAAACGCCCTTCAACAGTGGATGCATGTCCTCACCAAATTCTGATGTCACCAAAGTGTCCCTGTGGAATTTCTGGAGGGGGTTCTGCGTTAAGCAAAGCGTCACATGAGCCACAATCAAAACCTGGGTAGATGAAGGTTAGTAAGGGACAATCCCAGCCATAAATAGTTGCGGCCGCCTTCGTATTTCCTTACATGGTTCTGGGTCAACCATTTTAATGCCGGGTTTTGAGAAAGTGACTCACATGTAGCCAAACCTGAGAGCTGGTTGCCCCGAGTTTTCATTTTCCGGATGCTGAGGCGCGGCACATACAGATGCTCGGAGACTGCATGACATACCGCGGCGCCGCCATGTCCTCAACGCAACTGGGTCGCTTGCCATTTTCCGGAACCAAGGGGGAAGTGGAACCAAGTGGAACCAAGTGGAACCAAGGGGAACCAAGGGGAACCAAGGGGAACCAAGGGGAACCAAGGGGAACTAAGGGGAACCAAGGGTAACCTGTAACATCACAAGCAAGCTGGGTATTTTGGCATTTTTGTATTTTGGTGTGTGTGTTTTAAGGTCGGACTCTCAAATCGCGGGTTTCCCTTTCCTTTCCCAGGAAATCAATCTCAAAAAAGGTAAGGACCCACAAAAAACAATCAGACCACTCTCCTCGCAATTTAGTAAATATATACTATATAAATATATATTAATATTGATACATATATATATATATATATTCTGAAGATGTTAAGCATGTGGGCCACGACTATACAAGGCAGCCCCTGTTTCTTGCACACATGTCAGCGACCTTGGCTCAAGCGTTTCCGTTGTTTTGGTTCTTCCAGATCCTTGCAAAAAGGCGTGCGTTCCCGTTGAAACCTAGAGTGCCATGTTCAGCCCCTGAAGCGCGTAGTTGGGGGTGACTGTGGGATTTCCATAATATATACACGCGTTCCCTGATGGGAAGACTGGACCCCACTCCCCTCCCGAGGTACAAATATGGGGGACGAATCAATAATTAACATGTTGTTATTACCGCCATGAACTCGCTTTATCTAAGTGAGGTCATGAATTGTTGTTTGCGTCTTTGGTTGTGAAGGTTCTACAATTTCCACGGAAACAAGTGACCACTCCCTATTTGTCCCACTACTCTTGGCTACCTGACGATTGCTCGAGGTCTTGGGCATCAACCGCTTCGGGATCAGCCGAATGCGAACTTCTGCTCTGATGATCTTTGGCTGCACTCGGCGCTTGACATTGAGACCGCGGTCTCGGGTCTCCGTATGCTCAGCCAAATTGTACGAGATGTTCCTCATTTTGGCTTGGTTTGAAAGCAGACCAAAGGCAAGCTTGCGATTTTTTTCGGCGGGTCAGGGGGGTCAAGTATTGTGTTGGAATAACCCGTCTTCAATGGCATCCAAGCTATTGTGCTAAGACGATCTTGTACAGGATCGCATGACCCCTAAAAGTGCATGATTGCGCTTGTGCTAACTTCTTGGTTCAGGGAATCAACCGCGGGAAGTGGGAATCCAATATATATATATATATGTATATATATAGATATATACATCCAGGAAGTCTTTCGGGGCATGAAGTTCACATCGAGACTCCAACTCAGTCCTTGTCGATCATCAAGCCAAGGTTAGGTCAGGGGTTAGTGTACTCACCATATACCACCCACTTACAAACTTGAATATCCAAGCGGATCTTGTTGAGGGCACCTTTCTTATTTGGACGAGCCACAACTTGCTGGTGCTCAGTAGGGAATAAGATTTGGAATGACCCCAAGAAAAACCATCCCTTGCTGCTGGCTTTCTTTCTTCGGGAATGCCAGGGTTCATTCCATTTCTCATTGTTCATCGATTTCACAGCAGCAAGTTTAGAGTTTTTCTCGGACCCCTCCAGAAATGGTGGTTTCCCTTTGGTTTCCCTTTACCTACTCTCCATGACCCTGTAAAAATGGGTCCATGACCCCATGATTTTGGGTCATGACCAACCATTTTTTAAGGCTCAGAATGAGATTCCAGGTACATGCTGTAAATAAACGTAACCCTGCACCTAACAAACCCATTTGATTCCCCAACGCAAATACCAACCAACCATGGGGAATCATGGTACCCTTGATTCGGAATCAAATCAGCAACCAAGACAATGGGTACCCTTGATGATTCCCCGTTTCAACCATACCCATCCCTCGCCAGCGACGTTCCGACGTAACCCGCTCGCTCGCGCTCGCGCTCCGCCTCCCCGAGGCTCGCCTCCTTCGAGCGCACCACGGACCTGGTCTTCGACGCCGCGGCGCGGCACCGCTCAGACCCGGTGAAGGGCGTCTCCGAGCCCGGGGCCCCGTTGGGCCGTTGCGGGAGAGACGGAGGGTGGTCATTGCCCTGGGCTCCTTACAAGAAATCTCCATTTTGCAGTTCCATTTGAAACATGTGGGTTTTTCAACACCAAAATAAAGAAATGGAAACCACCATTTACAAGGCAATGTTCAGGTGTATAATGTAAAGATCCCTGTCTACTTGGATGGGATTGTTTTAGTTGTTGGGTGTAATTGCTTGTTGGGTGTGCGGGTTCCATGATGTTTTTGTTGGGTGGGCGGGTTCCCTGTGAACAAATTGCAGATATTCTTCTCTTGAAGGAGCATGATGGCTTACTGTGGTTTTCAAGTCGCTGCTGTCAATCTACTTGACCCTTAGCAGGTAGTTAACAACCAAGGTGATAAGTGGGACAACCTGACGAAGCAGGTTGCAACTGGGAACTCAACCGGGCCCCGGGACGGGTCTATGTGCTGTCAGGGTTCCATTGAGCAGTCAACAAGAGGTACAGGAAGGTCACTTGAGGCAGTGATTCTTTGGGTTGTTGGTTGCTTCCTTGAGTCCCCCGATTTTGACATGACTCACCCCTTTTTTGATTGGGAGGGTTCCCCTACTAAAATAGACAAAACCGGAAGAAGTTGGTACCAACTTATTCTAACCTCTCCACTGGAGGACCTAGCAGTGCATCTTGCTCTGAGACTTCGTTTGACATGTCTATGTTTGCATGTCCAGGTGCACCAAGGGACCCCTTTTGTCGGAAGGGCAGATTGGGGCAGAAAAGCTAACCGCATGTTTGGGAGAAAAAAGAGATCCCCCAATAGGGTCGAAAAAAAAACCCTTCATTTTCTTAAGGTACCCTTATAGAGGGTTGCATTGTCGAGGGGGGATCAACATATTTCTGTACTGGCTTGTTGTTGTGAGTGTGTATGTGAATGACCCTGCTCCGACCAGCGGCTTATTGCACAGAGTTTTTTTGGCAAAAGAAACCATGCCTTGGTTGCCGACCTCAAGTCAAACTACTGACACAGCTTCCTCGTGTGAAACCCGTTTCAGTTTTGGGAATCATTTTTTGACCATAACAAATGTGCATGTATGTATATAGACATATATATATATAGATATATGGTAGCCGGGGGGGGTCCTGGGAAACCCATACCATATGGGGGGGGGGGGGGTAGCAACACGGAACACGGGACCATATATATGCCAATATGTGTGCATATGTATATACGCATATGCCGGACCCCATCTGGCTTTTGGCTTCCCTGTAAACCCTTGCAACATACCCGCTGGTCATTGCCAACAGTGGAGCGCGTTCTGGCTTTGGGACCAGCGTGGAAGATCTGGAATAACTCCCCTGCAGAATTAGAAAGCAGACACCCCCAAAACAAAGCACCCTTTAAATATAAGGGTCTTTTTTGGTCATTTAGTTCTACAATGCATGAATTCCGGTGGTTCAGCTCCGCTCCAATCATTTATCAGAGGGCGTGCAATATGCAACACCAAAGACTAACCGGTTAGGCGGAAAACCTATTCCATCCTATCCCTTTGGATTTGTTTTTTTGGTTTCCGGCTACTCTGAGGTGCATTATCATGGGCTCCACCATCAACCTCGGCACAGGGCTCTGCAAGTTGCTCTATGACTTCCAGGCGGACTCCCGATTTATCCATTTGGGGCCACAAAGGCGGCCCCAAATGGACATACCCCAAAAATAGTTGTACGGGGTATATACGGGTCCCAGAGTCCATCTCTCGATATTTAATATAAGGCCTACAAGTTGTTTTGACGCATGCAACATGGTCATCATTACTTGTTTCCCGAGTAGGACATTGGAGAAGTGGGTCCCCTGACTCTTTGTCATCAATTCAGTGAGTTGCCCACTGTCGCTCCCAAATGAGCCATAGACTACTGGGCATTTTGACCAAACCATACATGAGCCTGGAGAAAGAATTGGGTCTCTGAACTATGGCAGATGGACCAACGCACTCAGGCTTGCTGGAGCTTGACGGACCATAAACTTGAACATTTGAACGTCACAGAGAGTGAGAGAGAAAGAGAGATGTGCTGTCGGGTCACGGGGCATGATTTTTCAGAAGGCTGTCAATCGGCCGCCCCGTGCGCGTGTTTGCGCTTGCGGTATGCGGATGATCTGGGGTGTATCAAGATCACAAAGTTCGTTTTCAGGGATCTTGGTTGATTCTGTTTGACATGTTCACATTCACTAAATATCATTGGTTCATGTTATGTGAATGTGAATCTAACATCATATTTAGCATTGACCAGAATCTAACATATGTTTTGTTATTGGGAAAAGCTGGGGTGGCTTTGGTCCTATAAAGGACGACGGTGACCATGAGCCGAATTGGAGCTGTGACCAAAACCCTGCACAGGGCACAGTTCAGAATTCCGTTTGTTGAATCTACATAATTGAGGGGGGAGCTTTTTTTTGAACCAATTCGCGGACAAAACAAGCTTCGATCGGTCATATAAAATATGCTCTCATGTAGGCTGTTCCTTTAGCGGGTCAAATTGATTGCTGGGAATTTCAATGTGGGCAAGGACCCTCCACCTCAGTTGTAGCGGTCTTTTTTGACAGAGAAGTGACGAAAAGAACGGATTTCTAGCGGTCCTAGCCTCGGGACCCGCCAAAAGGCGGGTTGGTGAAGGGCAACTCCAACCACATACAGGAAATGTCTGGTTCAATGGTCAGTCATTTTTGCTCTTTTTCTTTCGGGTTCCACTTAGGCATGTCTCAAACCTCCTCCCACTTTGTTGATTTAAACGGAGAACCCCTGGGTTTCAGTCTAGGGAATTCATGGAACAAATGGCTCAAGTACGCGGAGGGGTTGCTTCGCACGTGCTCCGGGCAGGCCCCATCCGGTGCAAAGCCCAGCCGGCCCGCGGTCGTGAGTCGCGGTTGGGTTGCGCAACCCCTCCTTGGTGCTTTCAAGCTCGCCTCCTGGGCCCAGCTTAGGTGAGCTGGGTGAATTATAACCTCACACGACCGAATTCACCAACCAAATGGTGGTTATGTGTGGAACAGCCCCCCAACCACCGCAAGTACTTTGGTGCATTTTGCTTGGCTGTTAGGACTTTAACTTTTGCCAACTAATGGGTTTTCCACTAAACCACTAAAAGTTAAACTTTTAGCAGGGGAACAGAAAGCAACCGAGTTCAGGTTGGTGATATATTATAATTCACCCAGGAGCTTGCCTTCATAGCAGGTGAGGTTTGGAGAAGTCTACGGCGCTTCCAGTAAAAGAAACCGGACAGGCGCGTGTTTGCAGAAGGATAGGAGGGGTGTTTGGCTATCGCACTCAGCCGCTTATTTTGCTTGTACAGATCTGCCCTTCGTGCGATGTCACTTGGTGCCTGCTTTCCATTTCGGGGGGTCGCCCAGGGTCAAGCCTCGATCCCCTCCCGTCTCATCTTTTCTTGCAGGGGAAGACTTGGACACCTTGGAGAGCTTCGACTTTCCGGCCAATCCCGCTCAGGCAGTGAGGAAACCCCAAATTTCTGGTTCCCAAACCTATTGTGGCCATGCAAAAAGATCCAAGCGTGTTTTTGTTGATGCTTCTAAGACATGATCCCCCTTTCTTTTCACCCATTGTCCTCTTCAGAAGCCATAATTTGTCCCCCTTGTGCCAATGTTTGGAGAAGGAGCCCTGAATTAACAGGGCTCCTTAAAAAAATACATTTTGCCACCATTTGAAGCATGTTGCTTTTTCAACACCAAAAAAAAGACATGGACGCCACCATTTGCAAGTGGCAATGTTCGATTGGTGTTTTTCATGCATCCGGATCCCTGTGTAATGTTTGTCCTCGACCATTTGTGCAGCAGCTTATTTTTGTTGTTTATGGTGCTGGTCCCCCCTATTTGTGCAGCTTCTTTGTTGTTTGTTGTGCTTGGTTTGTTGCCGGTTCTTTGTGGTTTGCATCCGGAGCCCGGAATTCGCCCGAAAAGGCTGCGGCATATGGATCCGAGGCCAAGGCACGGAGGACCCCAAGACGAAGGCGTGTGAGTCGGACGGTTTGGGCCGGGGGGAGGCAAGGGAAGGGAAGGTCTATGCCGAAAGGATTCGTCTTGTGGGAGGTTGTCATGGTTCTTGTTGGGAAACATTGGAAAGATTTTTGCTTATTGTGGTTTAGTGGTTGAAATCCAACCACTTAGCTGCTAAGATTCAAATTGCTGCTCCCCTTCCCACGTCAACCAAGTTGTGAATGCTTGAAGCTCAATGGGAACGGTGGTTGGCTTGCCCAAAAAATGGGGGTCATGGTTCCCAGGGAGCTTTCAGGACCTACAACTTTCCCTGGTGGTTTGGGTTGGTGAGACCCAGACCTCCGGTGGGTGGCTTCCCGTGTTGCTTGTTGTTTGGAGGGGGTGCCCCGTTTGAAATCCGGCTCTGGGTCAAAAACAATGGTACCATTTTGGGGTAGGTGCACCACCCATTTTAGTCTATTAGTGGGGATTGGGATGTTCACTGGGGGCACGGGCTTTGACCCATGTGCCATCTAGTACCCCAAAAAGAGGGCAAACACACTGCAGGTCCAAGCAACTCTAGGCAACTTCTATGGAGCCTACCGCTCGCGGAGAAGGGGGGTCCCTTCCTTCCAGTTTGGGAGTCAATCTTGCTGCGATCGATGTCCTTTCCGAGGGTCCTCATATCTTGATAAGGAAATCAAGCCATCACCTTTTCGGCCTATGCTGATTGCCTTGGGATGGGTTGATGTTTGAAAAGGCAAGTGGACCCGAAAGAAGAAATCGAACCATCCATGGATGTCATGTTGACCTGCAACTGCTCTGTGAACAAAGCTTCGCTTCGGGTCATGGCTTTGAGTCGGGCCTCGAGCCTTCCACGGCGAGTTTCCTTTCAGTGGGGTGATGGGGAAAGGGGTTGCCAGGGGAGCCCTATTCAAGAAGCTGGCAGCCCGCTTCGAACTGGACCAAAACATAAAGGAACAAGGGGGGACTCCGAAAAACTCACTAGATTTCATAGGCAGGAGCTATTTTCTCCAGGATGTCAACTATGTGCGTGGCAAATTGTGAGCGCGGCTCATGTTGCTCTTCAAGCAGCCAAAGAACAGTTTTCGCTTTTGCTGCGACACATGTTCCAAACCTTGGACTAGGTTGCCTCTCATTGGTGGCTTGGCTGTGGCGTTTATGTGTTTGAATTCCACAACCAGGGGTTGAATTTCACCACCGAACCACTAATGGAGCAAGCTGAACCAAGTCGATGTTCAGCCTTCCCCGAGCTGGTTATTTGGGGGCCGGGTTTTTGGAGGTTCCCCTGGGCCGTCATGCTTTCCTTTGTTGGCTTGAAGGGAACTCGGGTGTTAAGCCCCCGAAACACCCCTAGCCATTCGGCTAAGATCAACTGTTGCCCCCCCCCCTCACTGGCAATGCATGGTAAGAAGCAAAATGGTCTTCCGCATTTTGGTGACTGTTTGTGTTTGGGGGAAGGGTCCAGCTACCCCAAAAGAATAGGTGCCCTTTGCTGGTTTCCTGATTCGTTTTTACTTCATTTGGGAGGTACCTGGGAAATGAGCTCTAAAATTCAAATTCCCCGAGGAGCTCTAAGTTTCTCGGGGAAAACGTGATTTTGGCCGTGACTCATCTGGATCCCCCAAGAAAAGCGGAACAATGCTTGCCTGCTATTGGGTGGGATCTTTAGACTTTAACTTTTCGGGAAATCAAAGGGTTTTCCACTAAACCCACAAAAAGTCAAACTTTTTGCAGAGGGTCAACAGCAACCCCGAATGAAACCATCCACTTCACGGCCCAACTCCCATCCGGTGAACTCGCCCGAGAACCGTCGGCAGGTCACTCAGAGCCGCAGCCCTCTCTTGAAGCTACAGCCTCAGCGATCTGGGAGAGACAGGTAGAGGGGATCATGTCCAGCATGGAAGCCACCAAGGTCCCATTTTGCAGAAAATGGGAGAGTTCCCAGGGTGGCTGAGTACGTCCTGTACTTGGCAGCATGTCATTTTGTTGATGGAAAAAGCAGTAGATCCATCAAGGTTCAATCCGAAGCCTTTCAGAATCCCTTGGGTCAGATTGATCAGCTGGTCGCGTTTGTGCAACTGACCTGGATAATGGCAAGATCAATTGGGGCCAGCCTGAACAACCTCAGCAGGGGGGTCCGACCTCAATTACGTATGCATACAGTGCACGTTTGATTTCTGAACACGAGATCTCGGGATTTGCCAACACACTGCTGAGTCACAATCAAACCCAGATGCTGCCCGAAACCTAAAAATTCAAAGGGCGGCCACGCCTATTTCTGGCTGGGACTGGCCCCTACAACGCTCCATCTACCCGAATCGGATTGGACTATGGTGCTCTTGATCTCGCCCGAGGAATTGGCGAAAGCGCGTGACCTTCGAGGACGAGGTCAGCAATAAGGTCCCCCGACTGGAAAGTACCAAGGAGGACAAGCGAGCCAAAGGCTGACTTCTGAGGGCATTGTGGATGAAAAGCCGACTTCTTGCAAGGGAGTGCCGTGTGTAGCGTCAACTGCTTTATCGTAGTTTATCAGTTTGAACACTTGGCAAGATAATATAGCAGGACATCGACCCCGGGATCCGTTCAAGGTCTCTTGGCATGCACCCTGAACTGGTGGCTCCGATTTATTGATGTTTGTTTTGCTTTTTTTTTTTTTCTTTTGCCAACCGGGGCACGGTTTACCTTGGCGGGGGCAAGCCTACCCCGCGAAATGTGAGCCACATGAAGCCTTGATCCCTGTTGCTCTATCCTGGAGCGGCTTGTCACGTTTGCCCTTGGCAGCTGGCTTTTCCCGAAGTGGGCAGCCCCTGGAGGCGGCGGTCTGTTGATTTACCCTCCCAACATGGAAGGAGGCCAGGTGGAAAGGAGGCGGTCGCTTCCATCGTAGGGTGGAAGTTGGCACAATGTCCTTTCCGGGACGACGACGAGGGAATTGTGCCATTCACCCAACGGGGCCTTGGCTGTGGAAGGTTCGGATGGACCAAGTCTAGCGCTGTACATAGGGCTTCGAGCCGGCCTACTGGGTCCCAGCTAACGCACCGCCCGCGGGCAGAAAAGATGGGAGAGCTGTGGGGTGTGTGACATGAGTGTTTCTCAAATGGGCGGGCCCCCTTGGGTGGGTTTGCAAAGGGAGACCTGGAAAGCGAAATCATCTTGGACCACTGGTTTGCTGGAGCCCTATCCACATCTTGAGGTTAACTGAAGAGGGGCAAACCTGGGTGAAAGGTAATGTTTAGTTGGTTGGAGGCAAAGGCTGAGGCAGGTTGTGTGGCGGCAAGACTCTGTTCGAGGCGTGCAACGGGTGCTGTCAGGGAAGATGGCATCATTTGAGGCCCGCATTTTGCGTGTTCAAGTCAATAGCACAGACCGGGGCTCCTGAATCTTTGGTTTGTTGGGGCAATCCGCGTAGCAAGCCTTACACATTCCAAGGCAATTTCCTTCAGCCGGGAGCCGTGGCATGGATATAGGGTCTCGAAATCGGTCGTGTAGGATGGTTTTCCAGGAAGCCAAACAAGCCAACCACCAGGGTCTCTCATGACTTCCATTTGCTTAAGAATATGTTGTATTTTCCCCTGTTGGTTTTAAAGGGAATCTATGACTACTAGAAATATTTGTATTTTTTCCAGGGGGCTTAAGCAAATGGAAGATGAGGAACGCCCAAACCTCGATCTCTCGATTTGAATCCGCCGCCTTTGGCTGTCAGCTTTCCTCGAGGGTCCCGCATGTCCATTTTGCCAGGCTGTCCAGACTTTGACAAAACCAGGTTGAATAAAGTATTTTGATCTGCGTGGTATTCTCCACTGTGTTCACTTCCGAGAGCCTGCAATTCAGCAAGCAGCAAGCCTTTGACGCCAGCGTTGCGCCCGGTGTTCCATCATGGATTGGGGCCTGTCCGGTCCCACACGGCAGGTGGGAAAGGGGAGGGTGAGCAGGAATAGCGCTGGTTTCTTGGCAAGCAATTCCTTTAACTTAGAGTTTTCGGAGTCTCTGTTGTTGTTTTTGTTCGTTTTCTGTCTTTCTTCTTTCTTTCATTTTTTTGGGGGGGAGGGGGGTTGTGACATATCCCACTCAAAGTTGATCCACTTTAGGCGCTTCCGGCTTCAACCATGGGGCAAAGTATGACGAGCTCACGGGATCCAACACGCTCCCCTATGAAGGCCCCTTTTGGGGTCTAGCCCCAGCTGTGACCCAAACATGCCTTGCCTTAGTCTGCGATTGGACACCTGGCAGGTCCAAAACCTTTAACGCTTTCGGGGAACGGGCAAGTCGCTTTCAAGCACCACCGGCTATCACATGGTCAAGTGACCGACAGCCAGCGGGGGCACAAAAAGGGGGTCCAAGACGTGCAAGATTCTGAGAGGTTGTCATTCAGCAAGGGATTGGCAGGACTCAGTAGAACCTCGGTTTCAACCTGAGCGGGGCCCACCATTAAACCAAACATTTCGGGGGGGGGGGGGAGGGGCTCGCGCACCAGGTGGCCGACACTCCTGGCTGGCACTGGCCTCAAGTTGAGAGGGAAGCCACTGGGTTCGGGAGTGATTTGCCTGGGCTCACTTCAGAGTGGGGTCTGGCGCCATGTAGCATGGATCATCATTTGAGATGTTTTTTTTTTTTTTTTTTGTGTACCCCATTCAGAAGTTTCAGCTATCCTGACCTAAAGATAATGGCATTATAGACAACCTGGCCTTAAGGGAGTCTATCCACCATGCAACATATCTGCATCGTTCTGCATCCGGTATGTTTGCGACTGCCTCGGGGTGTCTGGTTTGCGCTGTGTTCCTCATCAGTGGTTATCTTGATCTCTTCCCATGGATTGTTTGTTGGATTTCCAGGGTTATCCAGTCGGGGATCGCCAGCTCGCTTCCGCAGTGGTCAGAGCAAGTCCAGGCTTGCTGCATGCCACTACAATAGCCATCAAGACCTAGGGGTACAAGCATTTTGCAAGACCACTTGGCCATCTTGAATCGTATCGGTTTTTGGGTTGGCCCCCTATGTTCCTCAGCTTGGGCGGTATGGGCTTTGGGTAGGCTTTTCTCGGTTTCGGGTGGGGCTTCTGTCATATGCACTCGGCTGAAACGTAGATGGCACAGTTCCCTTCCTGTCGGTCAGGAAGGGGGGAATCCCTTGCTTCAGTATTGGTTTACCGGAACCTGGTGTACTCATGTGGGTGTGGCTTATAAGTTAAGAGACAGACCGCAGGTTTGAGTCCACTTTTGCATGTACCAAGCTTCCATTCTGGGCGTTTCGATTTTTGAGCCACACCCTTGTCTAGGTCCCCTAGTAGTGCCCTTTCTCACCCCTTTTTTGGTTGGGAGGGTTCCCCTACTAAAATAGACAAAACCTAAAACAAAAACGGGTACCAACTTATTCGAACCTCTCAACTGGAGGACCTAGTTGTGGAGCCGTGAACTCCGGTCTCCTTTCCGTTTCGATCCCTAGGAACCCTGCGACCCACGTTGTCAGCTCTGGCGCCAACGAGGGCGTCTCGTGCCCAAGCAAGAGGCCGGCCCTCACCGCTTTGAGGGCGCCATAGATCCACCACCTTGAAACATGGTTGTTGTTGGGAAACATTTTACATTTTTGCTTATTGTGGTTTAGTGGGAAATCCCCACTTAACTGCTAAAGTTTGAATTTTTGCTCCCCTTCCAACGTCAACTTTGAAATACTCAGGTTTGTGGCCAGAACTACAACCTGAGTATTCCAGGGGGGTACCATGTATTTCCCTTTGGTGGTCTAAAAAAGATTTAACTTTTTTGCCTAACAATCTTGTCACCTGGGCCTTTCTCAGGTCCACCCTCATGGAGATCCAGACCCCTAGGGACCAGTGAGGGAGGGCCACGAGTTTCCCTCCCATCAACTGCCGGCCAAGTTTTCGCTGCAGGTGGTTGCGAGAGTGATTGTTGGTTTCAGGCGGCCGCTTTCTGTAAGGGAAGCTCATGGTATGTCGTTTGAAGTGCTGCTACTTTGACGCGTTCCCTGAAGGGCGGCCCACCGAACACCCGCAGCCACGGTCAAGATGCCTCACCTGATCTAGTGATGTGGTAAGTGGGACACTTTAAGATGGTGTCCAGTTCCCCCAAAACAATATTTTAACGCCTCCGGCTCAGGCCGCCGACATTACAGGCCTGCTTTCTTATTTGCGTCCCTTTGGAACTGCCCCCTTGCCCCCCTTCCCCTCTGAGATCTTTGCCCCCCTTTCCCCCCTAAGGCCTTTTCCCCCCTGAGATCTTCTTCCTTTTCCTCCCTAAGATGTTTTCCCCCCTTTCGCTGTTGAGATCCTTTCCCCCCTTTCCCCCCTAAGGCCTTTTCCCTCTGAGATCTTCTCCCTTTTCCTCCCTAAGATTTTTTCCCACCTTTCCCTATTGAGATCCTTTCCCCCCTGTCCCCCCTAAGGCCTTTTCCCACCCTGAGTTCTTCTCCCTTTTCCTCGCTAAGATCTTTTCCCCCCTTTCCCGCTTAAGATCCTTTCCCCCCCCCTTTCCCCCCTAAGGCCTTTCCCCCCTGAGATCTTCTCCCTTTTCCTCCCCAAGATCTTTTCCCCCGGTTGAGATCCTTTCCCCCTTTCCCCCCGAAATCTTCCTCCCTAGGATCTTTTCTCCCTGTCCCTGTTGAGATCCTTTCCCCCCCTTTCCCCGAGGCCTTTTCAGATCTTCTCCCTTTTCCTCCCTAAGATCCTTTGCCCACTTTCCCTGTTGAGATCCTTTCCCCCTTTCCCCCTAAGGCCTTTCCCCCCCTGAGATCTTAAGGCCTTTTTCTCGCCTGAGATCTTCTCGCTTTTCAATCCTTTCCCCCTTTCCCCCCTAAGGCCTTTTCCCCCCCTGAGATCTTCTCCCTTTTCCTCCCTAAGATGTCTTCCCCCCTTTCCCTGTTGAGATCCTTCCCCCCCCTTTCCCCCCGAAGGCCTTTCCCCCCAAGATCTTCTTCCTTTTCCTCCCTAAGATCTTTTCCCCGCTTTCCCTGTTTAGATCCTTCCCACCCTTTCCCCCCTAAGGCCTTTCCCCCCCTGAGAGCTTCTCCCTTTTCCTCCCTAAGATCTTTTCCTTGTTGGCCTTTTTTCCCCCAAGATCTTCTCCCTTTCCTCCCTAAGATCTTTTCCACCCTTTCCCTGTTGAGATCATTTCTCCCCTTTCCCCCCTAAGGCCTTTCCCCCCCAGATCTTCTCCCTTTCCTCCCTAAGATCTTTCCCCCCCTTTCCCTGTTGAGATCCCTTCCCCCCTTTCTCCCCTAAGGCCTTCCCCCCCCTTTCCCTTTTCCTCCCTAAGATCTTTTCCCCCCTTTCCCTGTTGAGATCCTTTCCCCCCCTTTCCCCCCGAAGGCCTTTTCCCCCCAAGATCTTCTTCCTTTTCCTCCCTAAGATCTTTTCCCCGCTTTCCCTGTTTAGATCCTTCCCACCCTTTCCCCCCTAAGGCCTTTCCCCCCCTGAGAGCTTCTCCCTTTCCTCCCTAAGATCTTTTCCACCCTTTCCCTGTTGAGATCATTTCTCCCCTTTCCCCCTTAAGGCC